AACACTTTCTGAGGCACATGTTTACTTTCGAGAGTACGGAGTAGAGCCTTGTAAGGAGTGGTGTACTTGAGAACTTAGTATGATAACCCTGTTAAAGACAAAACCTGATGCTCAGTAATAAAACGATACAAAGTTTCTGCTGCCACTGTTTCTTCGTCACGAAATAACGAGAGTACCAAATGTCACCCCATACCCCCCCCAGTGAAGGCATTTTTTCGCGGGTAAATTTCGCGCAGTTCATGAGAAAGGATCTGGGGACTACAAAACATCGACGCCTTGCAAGTTTGGATATGGCTGAATTTGGAGTTACTTCTACGAAGGTAACGTATAAATGGCCCCTCAGATGATTTGTAAACATGTTGTTAACATCTTGAAGAATGTCTGGAGATCCGATACGGGAGATTTCTCATCAGTTCACTCTGGTGGCATCTCTGGAAGCTACTCGCACGGAAAGACGGGTAGGAATTCATGTACAAAATTCCAAGTTCATGTTGTATGTTATCTGTCAGGGCGAAGAATATCGTAACTAACGGTTCAATCAAACTACATGTGAGGAGTAGGTCAGCGAAGTGACAATTTCATTGATAAAAGTGGCCCATTTTTAGCGAGCAATTGTATGTGTGCAGTCTAGTGAAAAGCTGCAATTCAGTGAGAATTTCTTCTGATTTCATATGAGGTCTTCAAACGGGTTTTTTTTCTTAAGTTTCAGTTCCAATATGAAGACTGCTTGTTTATTCTATCTAATGCGTAGAACTTAACTCAACGCTTCCCATAGAGATAAGATTTCGAAGTATTCAGCTTTCTTGATACCACGTTGTAACTTAAATACTGTACGTATCTGGACGTAACTTTTATGAAACAATGTGATTGTGAATGCGAAATTTCTATCCCATGGTAGTTGATGAGGGCGACCTCAGAATTAAGTATTGCACTTGATATATGGAAGTTGAAAGGGAATGATGTAATAAGCCATTTTACAGTTATGTACTTAGTTCCAAGCCTTTGATTAAGAGTGAGGCTGAAGATGACCTTGTTATGACAGAGACCAGTATCTAGTTAGCATAATAACAGAGAAATTTACATTTAAAAAGCAGCAAAGTTTGTATCATAACAAGGTCACCCCTAGCCTCACTCCTGTTAAAAGGCTTGGCAACCAAGCACCCAACAGTAAAATGGACTATTGTTTTAACATATTTCTACTATTTGTTCAAGAATTAACATCACAACAGGCTCATTTTTATTTGTGCATGATGATATAAATCAATCATGCCATATATCAGGGGACAGATAGGGAGTACTGTAGCCAAACGGATTACAGCATTTGTTATAGAATGCCAGAAGATAAATACAAATTTCTGAGATTTTTTTGTAGAGGAAA